CCTACCACCAGGTTGTTTTGCGCTCTAGTTTGCTTTGCATGTCTTTCTATAGTAGCATCCTGAAAAGCTTAAAATTCAATATGACATGACTCCCATTAACTTTTCAAGTTGCACAAAGTAAACAGTGGCATTAAAAAGCAAACACTACACGTATAAGAAGGCTAATGGAAAAAGGGATTCACCCACAGTTAAATCCTTTTTGCAGTTCCTGCTTAAATCACACTCAGTAAATAAGTTTGTTTATGGCAGTACAGAACTTACTACTGTTTTCTCCTCCTTTCCAGTCTCACTGTCACCACATCTGCCTTCACTTTGGGGCATTTTCTTTTTTTTTTTGTTTTCCTCCTTCAGGTCTCTAGTCAGATTTAAATTATTTTAGCTGTACTTCTGCCCGGAGCTATTCCTTCGTGCCCAAGAAACAATACGTGTGCAAAATTAACCACTGTCTACTTTCTTAGTGAAAAAAAAATTCTCTTCCCACAAATAAATACTGTTTGAGACAGTATTTGGGATGTTATGGGGAAGTGACTGTGGCTTTGATAAGCAACCTGAGGTAGAGATGTGTGGCTGGATGAAGGGGAAGGACTGTACATGTAACATCTTCACAGATGTTCCCCTGACCCTCACAGATACCTTTAGAAACTATAGAGATCTTTTTAAGTTAGAAGTATCCTTTGGCTTGCTCTGTTCCATGCGAATGCCAGCACAGCTTAGACAAATACAAGATCAAAACCAGTGCTACCTTCCTGATGATACCTGCTATCCTCTGGGCTGGAGAGATTTCAGATGAAAAGAAAGTCTCAGACGCTGTTAGTTGTGTGACTTATGTTTTAAGTTTCTGACCGGTATTTTGTGGTGCTTCGGAACAAGACCGTGGCAAGACTTCTTAACTTGGCTGCCCAAACTTTCCGTGGACATGCATTTTTTATTGGAACCCAAAATATTTGATTGGGAAAACACTGCATTTCCAGCTCTGTTCCCATGCTATCTGATTTATCAAAATCTCCTGTAGGTTGCTGGATTTATGAAAAAGTGCATCTTTACTGTAATTTATCTGTGGAAATCATACATGAATACTCTTCTTGTCAAGGGCTTCATACAATATCAGCTGCTATCAGTGGAAGTCACCAAGGTAGTAAGGGATTCTGTTTTCTCCAGAAGAAAGAAGATAATGTTATAAGAAGATAAATACATAAATGAACATGAAAACTATTTTTTAACAAAATAAATCTTTTTTCTTCTCTGATTTACCCAATCTTACTGCTACTGTTTAAGTTTTCTTAATTAGAGAAGCATGACATTTCTTCTACCCCTCTACAAAAGTTAATGTTAATTATTATTCTAGGAACTGTCAATAAACATTCGACTAAAACTCACAGCCAGTCCATGAAATCTTCGGTGATATAAGTATACTTAACATTCACGTGGTCATTGCCAAGGTTTATCCTATTTCAGCGAGCGTAGGCCAAGAGTGGGGAGTGATGCTTTACATTTTGAGTTACTCATTACATTAAGTTGATGCCCTGAGATTCAGGCCTGGCCACCACAGAAACAGGCACTGCTATGCTTAAATCTTGGTCTTATAATTGCTATTTTGATATTCCTAGCAACTTAAAAACACAACAAATGCACTGAAGTGAATATCTACAGAAAGTTTTTGGTTGAATGTGTTTTAACAGCACCCTTCATTCTGACTGACTGTGATGTGTCGTATAAAGTAATCAGGGTCACGGTCAGAAATAATTTTAGCAATCAGTGGAGCAAAAAAAAAGAGCAATGCCATTATCTTGGAACATTTCAGAACTTATTAATTCCAATAAAGAAGACCTTTATAATAAACCCAGTGCAACCCCATGTCCCTTTCCCACTCCACAATGCCTGGTTTATTGCTTCTTTAATGAATTCAGAACCCTCTGAATAAAAAAACAACACAATAGGCTTCTGTCTTTACATTTCAGTGTACACTTCACATGGTTCAACTAAGTGCAAGTGAAATGGAGACATACAGAAATACAAATATTGAACTGGATTTGAAACAGTGACCTGTTTTGCTCGTAGCACTTGCTAAACTTTATTTCTGAAGTACCATTTCCCATACAAACGATACTTTTTGCCCATTGTTAAAACTGTATAACATGACATTGATTTCCAGAAAATAACAGGAGTTCCACCAGTGCATAACTCCAAAAAAGTGGTGTTAATACAGGGACATTTACAAACCACAAATTAAAAATTTTATTATGTAAAACAATAAAAAATAAACATCAGTGCTACAAATATTAAGCATTGTTTTTTCTATAAAGAGAAAATCCCAACACATTTCCAGAGTTCATCTATGCAGATGAATAGTCAAATAACCAAGAAGCCTGTTCACACTGCACTCTTCACCTGGAACATGATTATCATAGTTACATAGCCACCTAATATCTGAAAAAAGGGACAGTTAAGATAAAGCCACAGCTAACACCCAGGCACATCACTGTCAATTCACAATCCCTGCAGACTAGAATTGCTCTCCAAGAAGGAAAACCCAGCTCCTCTTTGTATACTTTTGATCTTGTGAGCTTTGGTTGAGAGAACTGATCCTGAGGAAATTATTTCCATGAGAAAGGATAATTTTTATAAACTTCGTAAAATCAGTTTGTGTGCCTGGACTCCAGTGAGTGCTGGATACTCTCTCCTGGTCCTTGTAGATTTTCGCTTGTAAATACCATTCTGGATTCAGCAGTCCCCATCTGAAACTTCACTTAAAGACTATTTTGCTTATCTGGAGAATAAAACGTCACTTTTCCATCAAAACACCTATTATTTACATTGTTTTGGGTTTGTTTTTTTTTTTTTACATTCTCAACTACCATCAAACTTGTGCAATTGTTAATTAAAGTTGGGGGAATTCCCTTTATGTTCCCAGCCCAGGACAAGACTGCACCTTCATGAGGCCAGTCCAGCAAGTCAAGGGCTGTTACTAGCAGGCCAAACAGCAGCACTGTCCCCAGGTCAGAAATAGTTACAAGCCTGCAGGTGGAACAAATTCACCATAGAATTAAACAATCCCTCTCCCAGAAAAAGACGACTGGTGGGGAAAAAAAAAAAAAAAAGAGGGGCTTTACTATCACAAAAGACAGGGAAGTGGTAGCATTTCCAGGTATTTTTAAATAGCATAAAACAATAAAAACCGTAAAGATACCTGAAATCAGAATCTTTCCAAGTGAATAGAGGTTTTGCCCTGGTTTCACCCCCAGGAGCATTGTCAAACAAAATCCAAGAAGCTTATTTTCAGCGGGGGGGAAAGCACAGAAATACCAAGGCAGGGTTCTTCTAGGTGTAGAAACGGTGAGTAATTAAACAGCGGGAGGAGAGTTAGCTCTGCATTTGATCTGGTTTTCCCCATGGAGAGGTAACGATGGGTTTGCTCTCCCTCTGCCTGCCTGCCTCACCAGGGTGGGACGGAGGCTCTGCCTGGCCTCTCCTTGCAGCCAAGCAGTCGCTCTTTGGTGGGAGGAAAAGAGAAAGCCAGAAATGTAGTCAAAAGTAGTAAAGGCAGAGCTTCACTACTAATCCCCTTTCCCCTAAGGGTACTCCACTCCTCCCACGAAGCCATCGGTCATCTTCTTTGTGCAAGACTTCCTGTCCTGCCTCCTAAAACACACCACATCCCGGAGTTCCTTTGTAGTTCTTTGCTCTTTTCTGAAATCCTCCCTCCCCAGTTTGCTAGGTAAGGGGGGTATTCAGTGTATCTTTGTGCTGTGGGGCAGTGAAACATGTAGAAGTCCAGTTCACAGGTTTTAAGGAAGTGGGAAGAAGCAGGGGTGAAGCTCTGAAAATTCAAGACCCTCTAAAGTGCAAGGCTTGCTTTTCCTAAAGCTCCAAATGCACAGCCAGAACTGTTGGGGAAAAACAAAATCCTGTAGATTTACGCTGCTGTCTGTCCCGCACACACCCAGGGCTACACAGCAAGCCTTGGGGTCCTCTCTTTACTCTCAGGTTGTACAGGGCTGGCTTCAAAAACGTAGGTGGGGGCACACTTCAGAGACAGATCCTTTGAAAAAGGAAAAATGTAGAAGAGTCTGGTCTTTAAAAACCCTTCAATAAAACAGAGTCTGGTCCGCTCACCTTGAAGTTAACAGCAAAAGTCCAAAAGAAACTTCCAAAGTGCCCTTCCCTCCCCCTGCCACCCCTAGTCAGGTCTGATCCCACGGCTTTTGCCATCCTCTTCTATGACACGGACCCAGGTTTAAGGTCTTCTCAGCCCTGCAAAGACAGAAGCAGCGAAGCACTGGCTAAGAGGACAGGCACGCTGATGGAGGGAGTAGTAGCACTTCGAGCTGCAGCTCCACCTCTAGACAGAGATCAGCGTTGGAAACACCACAGTGGGAAAAGCACCCGTGGCAGCTGGACACACAATGAAGGTAGGAAATCTTTGCGGTGGTGGGGTGCACGCTGCTGGGCAGTCCCTCAAGAAGCCCCTGATGGCAGCTGCTAGCATGGCCGCCTGGGTGTCCCCAGACCTGACCTGCCCCTTGTGCACTCCAGCAGTTTTACAGTAACATCATTTTCCAGTCTCACGAGAACACTCACCCAGTGTAAATGCTGAGAGGCACCTCTCTTGCTCTCCCAGGCCCTCTCCTCTTCCCTGGCTCCCATGTCGGTGCTTCAGGATGTTCACACCACCCAGAAAACCGCTCAGCCTTGACCCAGGTGTGATGCCTGTCCATGCTGCCACTACCCTGCAGAAGTGGCCCAGAGGCTCCAGGGGGGCAGTGGGGACCTGCTGCCCTGCAGGGGACACAGCCAGGCCAGGAGGCACCTTCCCAGCTCCGAGGGGCTGTGAATGCCAGTAGCGTTGATGCATCTGACACAGGCTCCAGAGGAGGAACAGAGTCTGGAGAAGAAAGCTCAGGTGGAAGTGGGGAATATGAAGGGAAGATTTTCCCAGTGGGGTGCACCTGGGTCTAGGGGTAAGAAGGAGCTGAAGGGATAAGGGGCAGGACTTGGGGGTCTCAGCATGGGGTGGCGATGCCCAGGAGGTGGGTAGGGATGCGGGCAGCCAGCAGGCAGGCCAGCACAATGCCGATGAGCTGCAGCAGTGCCAGCCCCAGGGCAGCCGTGGCAACGTAAAACATGTTGCTGCTGACAAAGGCCGACACCTTGCTGAAGCAACCATCGCGGTGCAGCCCACGTGCGTTGGGTGGGCTGCGCTGGCAGCCCCGGCGGGTCCGGCAGCACCTGCGGGGCAGCCCGCCGGTATCTTACAGGGGGGCCCGGAGCCGTTCTCTTCCAGTCCCCAGGGCGAGGTGAGCCAGTCACGGTAGCTCTCCACACCACAGCAGGACAAGGCGCGCTGCAAAGCATCCAGGGCATCCGCCATGCCCTCATCCTCTCCGTAGGTGAGCAGGGCTTGGCGTAGCC